AAGAATGAGTCAGTTTATCGTTTAAGAATATTATAAATTGTATGTTTTATATTAATGTTACCAATAAAAATATATTTTCTCATTTTGGAACATTATTTATTATATTTTTTGATCGAATGTGGATTGATAAATTTGAATTAGCTCGATTAATTTCTCCTTCAGCCCTGATTTATAAGGAAGAAGATAGAGGATGAAATGTAACTAAATTGATATACATATATATATATATATATATATATAGATGAATTTAAGTTAATTAGATCATCCAATCACTGCTTATTTCTTTTCTTATCAAACGACAATAATAGTAAAAATTAAAAGATTAAACTCTAAATTGACGCCTAATGAATCTCAGTTTTATACATGCTAGTCTTGAAAAAATAAGACTAATTTTTATCTTCTTATCTTTCTCTCTAGCTTGTGTAGAAATAAAAGGGTTATTTATTAACGCAAACTAAATAATTAGCTTTCCATATATTTTATTGGGCATGACAAACAAGTCATGTTATTTTTTATTTATAAATCATGCCATTTATTATAAGTTTCTTATTTTATATTAAAAAAACATAACTTCTAGTCCTTATAATTTTATTGTGTTTTGTTATTGGTTCAATTACTTTATTTTTGTTGTTTCAAGTTTTTATAGTTTTGGAGCAATAAAAAAAAGTACGATAACTAATAATAAAACACGATAAAATTAGAAGGATTAATTATTATGTTTCTCCTTAATATTAATGATAAATTTTTTTATTATTTTGGAGCATTATTTGTTACCTAGTTGATAAGTATCTCTAAATAGGCCAATTATCTAATTACTGTTTTTTCTCTTTCCTCAATTGATTATGCAAAAAAGGCAAAATATTGAACTTTAAATTGATAGCTAATGAATCCTGTCTTTGTATACATGAGCCTCCCACATTTACGTACAAGTCCCATAGAAATGACTCAATGAGAATAATTTTTCTCTTCTTTTCTTTCTCTGACTTGTGGGATTGAAAGATTCTTCTCAACCCTAATTAGATGGGTTCCTCTTCTCTTTCAAAGAGCGTGGACAATAAATTATTGATGTTAATGATAATTAAAAAAATTGACCACTATTTATTATGTTTCATCACCTAAATTGAATTAAGAATATTGAATTAGTTGGATTAGTTTCTCTTTCAGTCCCTAATTATATTTATCAAGGAGAGATATATGAGACTCGTGATGTAATTAACCTATAGCTAATAGGTGGATCTAGTTAGGATATCATCTAATCATTTATCATCTTTTTTTTTTTTTTTCAAATGATCATGTAACAACTATAAAATAGTAAATTTTAAATTGATACCTAGTGATTCTCACTTTTATAAATACGAGTCTTGCATAAGTGAGTCCATTTTTTTCCTTATTTTTCTCTATCTTGTAGGATTAGAATATCTCATTTTTAACCCTTATTAGATAGACTTCTCATGTATTTTAATGAATATGACCAATAAGTGATGTTAAGTATAGTTTATGAATCATACGACTTGTGTTATAAATTTCATGCTTTGCATCGGTACTAATGATGAAAATATTTTATCATTTTGAACCATTATTTATTATATTGCATGACATGATTCATTGATAAAATTGAATTAGATAGATAAGTTATTTTTTCTACCTATGGTTTATTAAAGACAAAATGTGGCCTAGTTAATAGGTGGATCAAAGTAGGATCGCCCGATTATTGTTTATCTCTTTTCAAAGTTGATTATGCCTCAACTAAGGAATTAAATACCCAACTCTAAATTGACCCTATTTAAAATCATGCAATAATAGAATTTGATTCATTTATGGATATTAACTTCGATGAAGGTATGTAACTTTATTATATATTCATTAACAAATTTGGATTGGAAAAATTGATTTTTTTTTGGTTCACTGTTTTCAAATCCTAGGTTAAGATTCAGCAATATTATACAATGAAGTTTTCCTCTCATCCCTAATTTATTAAGGAGAAAGCTGAAAGAAGTGAAACTTAGTTGATACATTAATCCAAGTCAAATATCCAATTATTTTTTATCTTTATTCCTAACTCACAATGAGTATTTGATTCACGTATGGATATTAATTTTGACTATTTTATGTGTCTTTGTTATCTATTCATGAACAACTTGAATTGGAGCTGACCTTGAATCAATGGATTTTTATTCTAGATTTGGAAGTTTGAACTTGCGGATTTAGTATTTTCAAACCCTATGTTTGCTAAAGAGGGAGATAAAAGAAGGAATGGAACCCATCTGGCATATTGATGAGTAGGAACATTTAATCTTTGTTTATCTCACTTTTCAATGACCATGCCACAACAATAAAGAATGCAGCCCTAGATTAAAATACAGTGATATTATACCATGTTAAGTTTCACTCTCAATCCCTAGTTTATTATAAGGACGGAGATGATAGTAGTAGTTTCTATTTGACACATTAATCCAAGTCATGCCAACCAATCACTATTTATCTTCATTTTTAACTGACAATAAAATAATATTATTTGATTCACTTGTAGATATTAACTTTGACTATTTTATGTAACTTTATTATATATTCATGAACCAATTTGAATTGGAAAAATTAAATTTTCTCGTTTAGTGTTTCCAGTCTTTGGTTTTGTTAAAGGGAGGTAGAAGAAAGAATAGAACTTATTTGACATATTGATAAGTAGAATCATCCAATCACAATTTATATCACTTTTCAATGACGATGGCAAAGGATGCAACCCTATATTAAAATCCAGTGACATTATATCAAGTCAAGTTTTTTATCTTAGCCCCTAGTTTATTAAGGAGCCAGATGAAAGAAGTAGTGAAACCTATTTGACACATTAATCCAAGCCATACTATCCAATTTGATTCACTTATAGATATTAACTTTGACTATTTTATGAAACTTTATCATATATTCATGAACCAATTTTAATTAGGAAAATTAAATTCTTGGTTTAGTATTTTTAGCCCTAAGTTTTGTGAAAGGGGGAGAAAAGAAAAAGGAAAGGAACCTACCTAACATATTAATGAGTAAGACCATTCAATCACAGTTTATCTCACTTTTCAATGGATCAAAGAATAGCGGTAAAGAATAGCCCTAAATTAATATCCAGTTATATTATACCATATTAAGTTTTTCTTTCAACCCCTAGTTTATTAAGGAGAGAGATGAAAGAAGGAGTGACACCTATTTGACACATTAATCCAAGTCACACCATCCAATCATTTTTTATCTTTATTTTGAACAAACAATGCAATATTAATATTTGATTCACTTATAGATATTAAGTTTGACTATTTTGTGAACCTTTATTATATATATTTATGAATTAATTTGAACTGGGAAAATTGATTTTTTTTTTCGATTTAGTGTTTTCAGCCCTTGGTTTTGTTAAAACGGAAGATAGAAGAAGGAAAGGAACCTATCTGACATAATGATGAGTGAGATCATCAATCACAATTTATCTTGCCTTTTAATGGACCAAGCAATAGCTGTTAATTAGATCAAGTGGTATTATACATGTTAAGTTTTTCTTTGAGCCCCTAATTTGTTAAGGAGAGGGATGAAAGAAGTTGTAAAACCTATTTGGCACATTGATCCAAGTCATACTATCTAATTACTGTTTATCTTCATTTTTAATTGACAATGTAATAATAGTATTTGATTCTCTTATAGATAGTAACTTTGACTATTTTATTAAACTTTATTATATATTCATGAACCGATTTGAACTGGGAAAATTGAATTTGTTGGTTCAATGTTTTTAGTCCCTGGTTTTGTTAAAAGGGAGATAGAAGACGAAAAGGAACCTAACTGACATATTGATGAGTAGGATCATCCAATCACAATTTATCTCACTTTTCAATAGACCAAGCAATAGCCAAAGAATGCTGCTCCAAGTTAATATCCAATGGTATTATACATGTTAAGTTTTTCTCTCAGCCCCTAGTTTATTAAAGAGAGTGATGAAAGAAGTAGTAAAACCTATTTTGCACATTGTTCCAAGTCATACCATTCAATCACTGTTTATCTTCATTTTTCATTGACAATGCAATAATAGTATTTGATTCACTTATGGCTATTAGCTTTGATTATTTATGAAACTTTATTATATATTCATGAACCAATTTGAATTGGGAAATTTGCATCTATTGGTTCAATGTTTTCAGCCCCTAGTTTTGTTAAAAAGGGAGATACATGAAAGAAAGGAACCTATTTGACATATTGATGAGTAGGATTATCCAATCAATGTTTATCTCACTTTTCAATTGACCATGCATAGCGACAACTATCAAGAATTTAGCCCTATGTTAACATCCAGATGTAGCATATCTGGCTAAAGTATAATGAACCTTAGAGATTAATACCAAGTTGAATTTACCTCCTTGCCCACATAAGATTTGACAATCATAAATAATCCAATGAAGAGAGAGTAAGAAAATTTTTCAAGGTTAAACAAAAAGGTGGATTCTTAGCCAAGCCAAATAACCCACATGGATGGGGTTAAATTGTAGGGGAGTTACAAAGTGTCTCATAGATGAGCCATAGCCACACTCAATAACTCTCAATAAATAAATCCTCTGAAAAGATGAACTCAAAGCTTGCTCCATCACCATTCTCCTTCATCCTCTCTCTCTCTCTCCGCCTCAAATATGTGTAATGTTTGGGTTGTAGACGTATACACCTATAGTATTTCAATCCACCCTTCTTTCTTTGTCCCCCTCCAAGTTTGAGCATTTGTCATTAGGATTCTCTGTCGCCCCCTCTCTACCCTTCTACTCAAATACCCTCAATCCTTTTTTTTTGTTTGTCTTTTTTTATGTGTTTGATTTTAAAACCACAAAACCAAAACTAGAAGTAACATACCCAACAGCTTCCTCTGAGCTGTCTCATTTGGTTTATCTACTCTATCCATTCTCTCATATTTATTTAGTCCTCTCTTAATCTCTTTCCTCATTGTGACTTCCTCTGCTTTCATTAGGTCTTAAGAGATGGATAAAGAGGAGATTGCAAAGATTCAGGTACTGTATTTTCCACCCAATATCTTCCCCTTCCTTTTTCTTCCCTTAGTTATCATGTTTCTTTATCTTTCACTTTCAATAATAAATTTTTTTATGCTTGATTTTGGGATTACTTGTGTATGCAGAAATATGTTCTTAAAGTGAATATGCATTGCGATGGATGTAAGCATAAAGTAAAGAAAGTATTACGCAAAATTGATGGTACATCTTATAATAATTGATTTCTCTTCATTTACACGCATTTATTCTCAAAAATATTTTTTTGGGTTTCTAATATCTTGAAAATTAATGATTTGATTTACTGATTTATTATTGTTGAAATTCTTTGTAGGGGTATTTACTACTGAGATAGATTTAGAACAAGGCAAGGTTACCGTCTCTGGGAATGTTGAACCAAATATTCTCATTAAGAAGCTTTTGAAATCTGGGAAGCATGCAGAGTTATGGGGTGCTCCAAAAGTGGGCAATAACAATAACAACAAGAACAACAACAACAATCAAAACCAGCTTGCCAATCAAAAGAAGAATATGCAACTTGAAAATGGTGGAAAAGGTGGTGGAGCAGACAACCAGCCCAAGGGTAGCCACCAGCAACCACCAAATCCTCAACAACAGCAACAAGAAATTCTTCAGCAGCAATTGCAACAACTTCAAATAATGAAGGGGCGTCAAGATCAGAAGGTACCTGTTCAATTGAAGGATATGAAATTGCCAATTCAACAAAACCCAAATCCCAAGGCTGTCAAGTTCAATTTGCCTGAGGAGAATGATTGTTCAGATGATGAGTTTAATGATGACAAGTTTGATAATGAGAACTTTGATGATGATGATGATGAGTTGGATGATGAAATTGATGACCCCCATGTTCCTCTGAACAAGATGAAAGGGCCACTTCCTATGGCTAATGGTGCTCCCATGATGATGACAAATGACATGATAAATGAAAATCAACAACAACAGCTTTTGAATGCTTTAAAAAATGCAAATGTTGTAGGCAATGGGAAGAAAGGTAATGGTAGTGTAGGTAGAGGAAGACCAATGTTGGTCCAAATGCCAAGTATAGGTGGTGAGAATAGCTATAACAAAAGTGGTGGTAAAGGTGGCGGAGGGAACAATCAAAATGAAGGTAGAGGCAATAAGAACAACAACAGCAAAAATGGCAATGGAGGGATGCCAAAGGGTCAAAACGAGATTAATGTTAACAAGAATAGTAATGGAGCTTGTGAGAGAAATCTTGGAAATAACAATGAAAACATTTGCAAAATGGAAAATCCAATGGTTGGAGGTGTTCAAGTTGTGAACCCAATGGGTGGTTATAATCCTGGTATGGGCAGAGGCAACCTTGGTCCTATAGGTAACACGAACATGTCAATAGGTCCAATGGGCAACATTTCAACTATCCAAGCCCTCCCAATAACTAACATGAACACTACTGTCACTACAGGAGCTAGTAGTATCCCCAAAGGATACTTCCAAGGAGCATGTCCAGAAGCCATGTTAGGAAACCCATTCCAGCCGCAACAGCAACAATATATGGCGGCGATGATAAACCAGCAGAGAGCATTGGGAATGGCAGGAGGGAACGATCAAAGATTCCAGCCAATGACATATGCTTGGCCACCACCAGCTGTCAACTACATGTACCCTCAGCAACACCCATACATATACCCCCCTCCTTCACAAGATCCCTACACAAACTTCTTCAACGATGAGAACACCTCAAGTTGCAGTGTCATGTGAAGGTCTTAAGGACGATAACTGTAGTGGTTGACTGATTGTTGGTGGTGGTGAACAGCAGCAGGCAATGGTGGCAGTCTAGTTATTGGAAGTATCTAGCTTTAAGTTAAGCCTTTATGATACAATGAACAAGTCAATTAAAGTTTTTAGTTTTGTATGTTTTCAATTTTCTCTTTTAATATCCCAATTAGGTTTTATAATTATGATTATTACCATAGAAGAAGTAATTTACAAGTTAAAAAATTACGGGGAAAAAAGTTTTATGGGGAGAAAGAAGAGGATGAGACTTGGTTGGAATGTAGTCTATGCCATTATAATGTTTAAAATAGGAATAAAACATTTTCCATAAGAAAAAAAATGGAGACAAAGGAGAAAGCAACATAAGCATCTTCTTCACCCCTGAGCTCATTTCCCTCCTATCACCAGCCGAATGTCCCCCTTGCTTGCTTGCTTGCTGTGCACAATAATAATAATAATAATAATAATAATAATTTAAAGTATATATTTAATTGTCTGACTTTATATAAGGTTTTAATTTAGTCTTTAATTTTATAAATTATTTTTTTAATCCTTTAATCCTAATATTATTAGTTTTGAATGATTTTTATGTGTGTCAATTATTATTATTTTTAAAAAAAAAACTTAATATGTCAATATTTGAGAATGTTTTATTAATATTTGAAGGTTTAATATAAAAATTTGTTGAGATAAAACTAATAGTGTTAGGATTAAATGATTAAAAAGATAATTTATAAAATTATGGGATTAAAATGAAATTTTGTGTAAAGTTAAAGGACTAAATGTATATTTTAATTAAATAAAATAATAATAATAATTGATAATATATAATGATTGTGAAATGGCACGCATAACAATAAGATCATGAGGGAGTGAGGTTAAAGGTGTGTTTGGTTCAAAAGAAAGGAAGGAGATGAAAGGGAAAGGGTTTGATGTTACTTTATTTAGTTCAAGAGGAGAGGGGAGAAAAAATAATTATATACAAACAATTTTACCCCTCATGTGATTAGCATTAAGATATTTGATAGGTACATTTATATGTTTTAAACTTATTACAAAGAATACATTAGTTAGGATATGAAAGATTTTACCTCTTTTCTCCCGATCCTCTCAATTTGGAGGGAAAGTTTTTGGGGGATTGAAGGAGAGATTTTTTTAAAAAAATTTCATCCCCTCCTCTTCAATTTTTCAAACTAAATAGGGGGAGAGGGCAAGATCCCTCTTGTCCTCTCTAATTAAACACTTTTTTAGTAGTTGAGGTTTTAAGATCTCACCTACAATTATTATAAGGATATACTCTCGTGTAAAAAGTTATAAAAATTACTTAACATCTTGTCCATTTAAACATTTTAGAGATGGAGCAGAGCTTTTAGAAAGTACATGATATTACGTACTAGATTTTGGAGTAATATGAAATTAAAACATGTTAATAATTATAGATGATTGTTAACACAGAACTAAACAGAATTTTAATAGGATCTAATGTTTTCTGTTGGTAGTAACATGACACCAGTCAGGTATATTAGACAAATGAGTGACAAATCACTTGAATAAACTTAGATATTTTCTTAAATGAAAATAATTTTTTTTTTTTTTTAAAAGGGGAAACTTGAAAACGTAAATTGGGAATAGGACGGGAGAAAGAAAGAGACAAGGAGATCCAACGGCGTTGACACTTTGTGGCGGAATTTCGGTGAGGCTGGAGTGTCATGATCAAACGGGGAGTGTGGGGCCCATGCATAGGATCACATGATGATCATGATCAGGGTGGGGCCCTCCCCGCATTCATACACCCATCTAATCACGCAGTCCTTGTCTGATGAATGTGGGCCCCAGGATTCCCTCACCCACTCCCAAAACCCAAATACCCAAAAGTGCTCGTTCAGGCCATACTTGGCTAATTCGTGAAAATACATTTAAATTATTCTTATTATATTTTTATTAAATTCAACAAATAATATGATGTTTAAATAAATTTTTATCGGATTCAGATGTAAACAGAAAATAAAAACCCATCACATCATCAGATCATCGGAGTTCCACCTGAGCGCCAAAGCAGCGGATTCCATCCTCATCACTGGGATCCTGCTAAGCTGCGACGCCGCGCACGTTTAGCTGTGGTGGACCTTCGTCTTTCTGTTAGATTTGAGAGGATCTTTTTGGGTGATGTGTTTTTCTTAAGCAGCAAATATCCAAACAAGGCCTTATCTCCCCCATTCTTCACCCTCATGCTCCATTAAACATTTCGTCTTTTACCTTTCACCCTCCGCCGAACATAGTTGAAGAGCCATGATGAGAAATGTGTGTTGTTGTCGGCTTTGAGCCACTGTATGAAATACAACTTCATTGTGCCGCCGACGCTGGTTGTTAATCGTTACCGCGATGAACTGAACAATGGAGAGGTTGTGGCGGCTTTACTCTCATTCAGATCCACTGATCTCAGCCATGATTCACAGAGTGAAAGCCCATCGCTCCTGTTACAGCTGAGAGATTGCAGCGAATCCGTGATTTTTCCTTGTTATAGGTGAGAGATTGCCGCCGATCCGTCATTTTTCCTCCCTGCTGTGATCTGTTTGTTCATCATCCTCACTGTAGATTTGTGTGCTCCTTCCTCTCTCATTTTTTATCTATCTTCGGGTGGTCCTTCTCCCTTCATTTCTGTTGATTTTACCGTGGCCGCGTTGATGGTTTCAAATGAGATCCATCAGCTGAAATTGATTTCCTTATAGAACTATACTGATGCGATTGTTTTTGAGATAACTGGTTTGATTTGTTTTTAACCCCACGAATTTGACGGTACAAACATGTGCCTTGGTAAATGGTTCCTCACCTTCTCTCGCTCATCTCTTCATCAATGGCAATAAAATAAAAAATAAAAAATAATAAAAAAGATGACAACATGGCCCTTGGTCGCAAGGTCTCATCCGAAGTATTTTCAGACCGGACCTTCAACCCTGTCTGGTCCGGTTTTACGGTAATTCTCTTTGTGATTTTAATACCCAGTAAATTCCCAGTACCTTTTATTCCTCATAATAAAATTGAGCAGAATTAAATTATATATGTGTGTGTGTAATTTTATTCATAAGTAATTTATATTTGTTAATTAAAATTGAGATTGAGAATATAAAATAAAGTACATATTTTCATTTAATAATGTTTCTAAAAATAATTAATTACATTCTATCTATTACCATGAGACTTGAATGGCAAGATTTAAAAAACAAATCCTTCTAATCACATTATATTTTTGAAGTATGCAGGACAAGTGAAACACTTGAAGATTGGACTGGGGACCTGTTACTCATAAGAATGAACTTCACGTCACTGGCTCACTGCTATAAGCTTACTCATTAACAGCTTCCTCTGAGTTGTCTTATCTGGCTTCTCTGCTCTATCCATTTTCTCAGATCTATTTAGTCCTCTCTCTGTCCCTTCTTTCGCTGTGACTTCCTCTGCTTCCATTCGGTCCTAAGAGATGAATAAAGAGGAGATTACAAAGATCCAAGTACTGTATTTTCCTCTCCCCCCCCCCTTCTCTCTCGTTCCTTTTTCTTCTTCCCTTAGTTATCTTGTTTCTCTTTTACTTTCAATAACTAATTACCGTGTTGGATTCTGGGATTGCTTGTGCATGCAGACATGTGTTCTTAAAGTGAACATACACTGCGATGGATGTAAGCAAAAAGTGAAGAAAGTGTTGCGCAAAATCGATGGTACATCCGATAAAATTAATCTGTCTTCATTTACACACATTTATTCTGAGAAAGATTTCGTTTTTTGGCTTCCCGTATCTTGAAAATCCATGATCTGATTTGCTGATTTATTATTGTTAAAATTCTCTACAGGGGTCTATACTGCTGAGATAGACTCAGAACAAGGCAAGGTTACCGTCTCTGGGAATCGGAATGTGGACCCAAAGATTCTCATCAAGAAGCTTTTGAAATCTGGGAAGCATGCAGAGCCGTGGGGTGCTTCAAAAGCAGGCAATAACAATAACAATAAGAACAACAACAATAACCAGAGCCAGCTTGCCAACCAGATGAAGAACATGCAACTCGACCACGGTGGAAAAGGCGGTGGCGGAAACAAGGGTCAGCAGAAAGGCGGCGGAAACAACCAGCCCAAGGGTGGCCACCAGCAACCGCCGAATCCTCAGCAACAGCAGTTTCTTCAGCAGCAATGGCAACAGATGATGAAGGGGCTTCAAGATCAGAAACAGCCTATTCAATTCAAGGACATACAACTGCCGGCTCAACAGAACCCAAATCCCAAGGCTGTCAAGTTCAATTTGCCTGAGGATAATTATTGTTCGGACGATGAGATTGACGACGACGAGTTCGATGATGAGTACTCTGATGATGGTGAATCTGATGATGAAATCGATGACCCTCGCGTTCCTCTTAACAAGATGAAAGGGCCTCCTCCCATGGGGAATGGCGCTCCCATGATGATGATGAACGGCATGATGAATGGGAATCAGCAGCAGCAGCTCCTGAATGCTCTGAAAAACGCAAATGCCGCAGGCAACATGAACAAAGGAGGCGGCGGAGGCGGAGGCGGACCGATGCCGATCCAAATGCCAGGCATGGGTGGTGGGAATGGCGGTAAGAAAGGCGGCGGCGGAGGAGGTGGAGGGAACAATCAGAATCAAGGCGGAGGCAACAAGAACAACGGCGGCAAAAACGGTGGGGGAATGCCGGATGGTAAAACCGGGAACAACGGTAACAAGAATGGCGGTGGAGGCGGTGGAGGCAATCCTGGAAATAATAATGGAAACGGGGGCAAAAAGGGAAATCCGATGGCTGGAGGTGTTCAAGCTATGAACCCCATGGGCGGTCATCATCCTGGTATCGGCAGAGGCAACCTGGGTTCTATGGGTAACATGAACATGTCGATGGGTCCGATGGGCAACATTCCAGCGGTCCAAGGCCTCCCAGCAACCAATATGAACGCCGCCGCCGCAGCAGGAGCCGGCGTTGGCCCTGGAGGGTACTTCCAAGGAGCAGGTCCAGAAGTCATGCCGGGAAACCCATTCCAGCTGCAGCAGCAGCAGCAGCAGCAGCAGTACATGGCGGCGATGATGAACCAGCAGAGAGCAATGGCAATGGCAGGTGGGAACGACCAGAGATTCCAACCGCTGATGTACACGCCACCACCGCCGGCCGTCAACCACATGTATCCTCAGCAATATCCATACCCATACCCCCCTCCTCCTCCACAAGATTCCTACACCCACTTCTTCAGCGACGAGAATACCTCAAGTTGCAATGTCATGTGAAGGTCCCGGCGGCGGCGGCGGCGGCGGCGGCGAACAACAGCTGCCAGTTATTGTTAGGCGCCTATAATACAATGAACATGTCATCTAAAGTTTTTAGCTTTGTATTTTTTTTTAATTTTCTCTTTCGATATCCCAGTGAGGGCTTATAATTATGATCATCATAGAAGAAGTAATTTACAAGTATAAACCTATCTCTTATCCAGTTTTCCAGCAATTCTCACTGATTTTCTAGTCCTTCCGCCGCATGATTACCCAGTACCTTTTATTCCTCGTTATAAAATTGAGCAGAATTGAATTAAATTATATATTATTCAAATGTACATATAATTTTATACACAAGTAATTTATATTTGTTAATTAAAATTGAGAATATGAAATAAATTACTTTTTTTTCATTAAATAATGTTTCTATAAATATAATTAAATTACATTTTACCTATTCCGATGAGACATGAAAAGCAAAGATTTGAAAACAAGTCCTTGTAATCACGAGTTACATTTTTTCAGTATACAAGACATGTTAAACGCTTTTGAAGATGGCACTCGTGACCTGTCATCAATAAGAACGAACTTCACATCACTAGATTACAAGCTTAGTGGCCATTATTCACATTTTTAACAAGTAAATCCATGTTCGTTATAATACTAGTGGCTTTTTTATATGTAAAAGAAAAAGTTGAAAAAATATGACTTTAAATTATTATATTTTGTCCGAATTTTATTATAGATTAATACATTTTTTGTTTGGTGTTTCAGGTACTTTTTTTTTTTTTCCTAGTGCTCTAGGGAGGGATAGAACATCGGAAAAGAAAAAGGTGAAGGGATGTAGAGTACTGAAAAAAAAAATGTAAGGATCTGTAATAAAATTCAAATAAATTATAAGGATTTAAAATTATATTTTTTAAAAAATGTTTAGTTAGATTCCAATAAAGTATTTACAAATTATCTTTCAATAAGGTCTTCATAAAACATATTAATAGCAGGATTTGAATTAACTCATAATTTTATGGATCATGAATTGAATCTTTATCAACTAAATTAATATTCATTAATTAGCGCTGAGGCAAAACGAGGATGGAGACATGAGGCCTGTCAATCTCCTCCCTTTGTGGTTGTTGCATAATGTGAAGATTGAAATCAAAAAATTAAAAATAAATTAATTTGTTGGACTTGAGATGGAAAATAGTAAACTAAATATCTTTGAGAAATATTGAGTTTTTATGACATTTTAAAATTTGAGATAAATTCTTTTTTTTTGAAAGAATTGAGATAAATTCATATTAAATTAAATTTAAATTTCTTTTTTTGATCAGTTGTATTCATTAAGCCAGTTCGCATTTTAATATATAGAAAATCATAATGGAAAATGTTCCATTGAAAAATTTCTCATTATTTTGGTAATTATAAAAAAGGAAAAAAAATTACGGGTGAGAATTTGAAAAAGAAAGAGAAACTTTGGCCAAAAAAAAACAGAGAGAGAGAAGTGTAAAGGAAAGGGAAGGCAGGGGAGGTCATGGACAGAGACAGGAAGACCCAATCATGGAAGATGCAGGAGAAGGCTCCTTATGCTTGTTTTTGTGGATCCCACCCATATAATATTATAGTTTTAATTTGACCACATTTTTATCTTCCAATTTTCATATGAACCCTTGTCTTCATACCCTTAGTCTTACCATCAAGTATTGATTTTAGATTAAATCGGTTGAATTGCTAATTTGATTTGCTAATTGTTTGGATCGGATTTGGCACTTCAAATCAAGAGACACATGCAATAAGGCCCAAACCAAGTTAGATGACAAAACAATCTAATAAAAGTTCGTCATGCGAACAAACAAGCAAAACGCTGCATTTCAGTGGAGCACGGCCTAATCTCACAAAACTATCATCTTCTTAAAGAATGTGAAGCACCCACCTTGCCAGTCTCCTATGATGGGGCACACCGATGACCCTCAGAATGATGTGGATAGTTATTCTCTACTTTTGGCATCAAAATTTAAATTCAAAGAAGTGTGCTGTTATCCTTTTTTATAAAAGGTAACGAACGCATAATTAAGAGTCTTTCTTGAACACTTCAACAACTCAACCCTAAATTAACTTTCCTAGTGCAAACTCAAAATAACCCTGCATTACCTCAAGCTTGCCTAACATGACCCCTTTCATCATTATAGCTTAAGCATAATAGGCTATTTACTTTGCTTCTCCCTTGATCATTAAGGAGCACCCTTGATCATTTGTACGTTCTCTAACATACCCTTAACTTTTCAATTAGTTTTGGCATTAAAAAAATTGCTATAAAAGGCTTTGAGAACCCACAAATGTTTGATACACTACTCACTTTGAGGATTCGAATCCTCTGCCACACATGGCAAACCCTCAAGGAGCATCATGTTTTGTACTTGAATCCCAACACCATGTTCCATAATTTAGAAATTTTGTCCTATTTAAAATTTAGCCTCTCAACTTGATTACTTGGAATACATGCTTGATTCGAAGATAATATATAATAAAAAGATAAATTAGTAAATTATTTTTTAAATTTTAAATTCAACAGCACTATAGACTTTAAATTTATTTATTATGCAAATTATTTTCTCAACTTTTAAAAATAGTACAATCTAGCTTTTGTCATTAATAAAAGTTAACTTTAACAATTAGTTGACTATAAAATGATTGAAAAATACATCAAAAATTACAAAAAAATGACCTTTTGTATTTTTTTGTCCTTGTTTGTAATTTTTATATCTTTTTCTGTCATTTTTCTAGTCAACTAATAGTTAAAATCAACTTTTACTAATGGTAAGGACTAAATTGCATTGTTTTCAAAAGTTGAGAGAATAATTTATATATTAAATAAGTTCAAGATATATGATGTTATTGGACCTAAAGTTCAAAGGGTAATTTGTTCATTTATCTTACAATGAAATGAAGTGTTAAATAATTGGATCAAATCTTTTTATGAGTTATTAAATCAGCAAATCGAATTTTTATAAGACTAGATTGGGTTCCTTCCAAATTATTCATGTATGATTCACTATTTGTAACGTGTATATTTTGCATGACTTTCATCCTATATGAATTATTCAACCTTATTAATTAATACTAGAGGTAACGGGCAAACTTGCCATATAAGTTTTTCATCAAGTACAATTGATATTGGATATCATTAATTTTTAATTGGTGCAATATTACCTTAAAAAATTTAAAAATGGTGCAATGTTAACTCATAGTAATGTTTGACTAATGTTTACTACTAATTGAATTTTTTTTACTAGAGTTAAGGATCAATTTTTCATGGATGTTTTTCTAGAGGAGAAATTGGTATATTAAAATTTTGATTAGCATAATTTTTTGGTCATCAAAGTTCAAGTCAAAAGAAAAATTTAACGATCATTGACAATATTAAAAAATGGTTTGTATTTTCAAATTTTGACTGCTTGGGCACAAAATAAACTATACTTAAATGCTCATCAAACTTTTCCTTTTAGAAAGTCCAAACTTGCTCTTATTTTTTTCATGAGCAAGTCCAAACATTTGTCTTTAAACAAGTCTCAGCTTGAGTAGGTTTAACTGTAAATATTGATAGACTTTTTTAGACTAGCATGTCGACAACAATGACTTGCTCGGATTCTAACTTAAAAGGCATTCAATGTAATTCAACTCTCCATTCTCTTTTGATTTTGGGTTATAACATATTGATAGATCCTTCTTTTGATTTGAAAATTGATAACTTAAAAAAATTATACCAATCAAAAGTTTAGAACATACAAATTACTCATTCGGACAAACTTCTCAGGGCAAAATTACTTTTTAACTCTAGTCAGAATTTAACAACTAGTCAACATTGGTCAAATTTGTTGAATCATATGTTTTGATGATTATAAAACTAAAATAAGAGGTGTGTATTATGTATGCAAATACATAAAGATTCACGGATGAGACAAAACCTTCAAGAATGTGAAGAATCAAGAGAATAAGAAGATTTATAGGATAATTATTTATTTTTTTTAGATTCAATGTGAAAACTATGAGAGCTTAATCACATGTTATTAACTTTAAAATAAATGCGTTATCTTAGGCTCATAAGTCTTATTTGTGCACATTAAGACTTGTCTTAGTCAATTCAAGCTTAGGAGTAATGTCATTCTTGCTTAAATTAGATCATAGAAGATAAGCTTTTCACTGCATGATGTTTCACGCGGGATTCAGAATGGTCCCACGTGTGATTTTTCACTTTAGGCACACTGGTTGACATTTCACGCTTGAATCAGTAGTGGTTCACGTGTGATTTGTCACCTATGTTTGTGTAATACTTTGATGAAGCTTCTGTGCTTCAATCCACGCAAGATACCTTTGTGTACGAATGTTTGAATTGTCATCTTGTGTTCTATTACATTGTGAATAGTGATGTTTCACACCTCGAAGAGAGTTTTCATGCGTGTTCTGTCACTTGCCTCTCAAACACTTTCCTAATCTAAGAGTGCTTAAACTATTTCAAGCCTATTTCTTATTATACACTTGCGTAATTTATTATTTATTGATATGAGTCATTTCAATCTTACAATTCACGCTTGAATACACATTGGTTCCACGTGTAATATGTTTAACAGAATGGATTGGTTTTGTAACTAGCTATTTCATGAGTGTGAATAAGAGTGTTCCACGCATGATTTGTCATCCAGAATGATTTGAGTTTTGTAACCAACCATTTCACGCGTGATAATTAGTTTGTCCCATGCATGATTTGTCACTCAAAAGTGGCTTTAGCATTAAAGGTAACATGCCTATTTTGTCGCATAAAATGGTTTGCATCTCTTTATCTTACAAAATGTGCTTGAATCACTTTGGTATTCGAGCTTGAATTGTCACATATACTTGACTGAAACTTACCTAGCTCCATTTGATGCATGAATTATATGGTTGCATGCAAGAAATGTCACCAACAACTACGTTACTATTTCAACGGTTTGTCAATTATCAAAACTATATATATGATATATTTCAAGTTTAGATAGAGAATTTTGATCTTTGAATGAACTATTCATCATTTGAACATTCTTAAAAGCCTTCAATTTATGCATCAAAGTCTAGCATTAATTTATTTATCATTTTTTATAAATTTTGTAAAACAGTTCTCATAAGTTCTTAAGCTTTCATTTGTACTCAATCTACTCTTTTCAAAGAATTTATCTTTGAGAGATCTTTATTTTGTAAATAAGATGAAATCTTGAAAGAAGATTTTTGAAGTAAATTGTAATAACTTATTGGTTGTAGTAATGTTGGATTATTAATACAAGACTAATCAAGTCTTGTGAGTTACACTGAGATTGTAAGAACTCACTTAAACTTGTGATTATAGTTGAAAATCTTAAGGATAATCATGAGGATTGGACATAGGCTAAGATTTGGGCTAAATGAGGATAAATTTCTTGTGTTAAATCTCTTAACTTCTTTCATCTATCTTCCTCTCTTCTAAGTTCTGTAAAAAAATTAAGTGTTACCTAATTCACCCCATTGAGTGCCAACCTATCCAACAAAATATTACTATGGAATGACATTGCACTGTTTTTGAAATTTTTAAAATAATATTGCACCAATTAAAAGTTTAGAATAATACACTAATTATTCATTCAAACAAACTTCTAGGAGCAAAATTACTTTTTAACTCTAGTAAGAATTTAATTAACTATTAATATTAGCTAAATGTTACTACACGACAACATTGCATTATTTATGAAACTTTTAAAGTAAAATTAGGTCAATCACAAATGAAAAATATTAATTATATTTGGCGAAAAACTTTTAGGATAAATTCGCCCAAAAACCCTTCAATACATCAATGTTTTGCACCATTCAAGTAAGAATTTTTCGTGAAAATACAAGTCAAATTTAATTTCCTCTCAGTGGGTTAATGTATTTTGAAGTAAATTTAATAATTTATGGCTGATCATTCCTGTCAGTGGCACTCCCACTACTACTCAACACTCATGCTCTCAAATAGGTCTTGACCAAAAAGAAGAAAGGTGGCCAAGTGTGAAAGCATGGGGCCATTATTGGAGACAAACAGCTCTACAAAATTATTAAAATAAAAGCATAAAAGGTTAAAAGGAAAATTAATTATTTAGCTTTTTTAATTTTGATTCAATTTAAATTCAACCTCTAAATTTTAATTCATTATAATTCAATCTTTATAATTTTAATTCAGTCATAACTTAATTCCTAAATTTTATTTTTTATAATTTGATCTCTATAGTTTTCACTACTTAAACAATAATCCGTATATTTTAAAAAAAAATAAAATTTTAAAGAGTAAAAATATTTTAAACTTTTAATATTTATAATATTTATAAAAATTAAAATGGTTTAGTAATTTAAAATATTAGTAACAAATTTTAACATATTTTTAATCTGTATAATTTTATTTTTTAAAAAATATAAAGACTAATATTTAAGTGGTTGAAACTATAGAGATTAAATTGTAAGAGGCAAAGTTTAAGAATTAAATTATAATTGAGTTAAAATTTTAAATACTGAATTATAATAAGTTAAAATTTAAGGATTAAGATACAACTAATTCAAAATTATAAGAATTTGATGATTAATTATTTTGATGTTTTTTCAAACTAGTTGCTGCACATACAACTAAAGGTAATGTTTTCGTAAATAAAAGTTGAGACTAATGAACTTATTTTCTAAACCGGTTCCTCATCTACCTGAAATTGTTAATACTTTTTAAATTACCGAATTTATTGTTTTGGCAAGTTAACTTTCCAAAAATATGCTTCAATTTTAATTTTTGAAAATTTAATTTTACAAGAAATTCATAATAGATTGTGTATTCATCTTCATGGACGAATCTAGGTGCTAATCAATGAAGGCCGAATTAAAACTTGCCAAAATCTTTTTGAAAGTTAAAGTGTGAGTGGCAGATCCGTCCCTGTTCGTCATTTAATTTTTAATTCCGCGAGAAGCTCATGTTAATTACTTTTTGAGTAAATGTGATATTTTTTAATATCGAACACAAATGCCATTTTTATTCACAATATTTAAAAAACACTAGTGCGTTTACACATGAAAGGTGAGTCTAGAAATATATAATAAAATATGGGGAAAAAGTAGAATTTGTGAATTTTTTATATGGCTATTTGATGAAATTAGATTTAAATATTGCCAAATTCAGTTAAAAATAACTCTCTTAAAAATATTTTCTATGTAAATTTTACTAATTAGTTGTACTTTTCAACTTATCATGAAGTTTAGCATTTTAGTTTGGTTTTGCATTAGTTCAGTTCTCTCTCCTTGCATCTCCCAGCAAATGGACATGATAAAATGTAAAAATTTATTGCAAGTAAGTTATAAGTGTGGCTAATTCTTACTGCTACTCTCTGTCCTATTATGAAATGTCTTTTAGAATAAATGTTTTTCATTAATATAAATCATATAGAAAAATTATTAATTAATATTTTTTTTAATTTCATCCCCAACAAATTACCAAAAGAAGAATTTAATTCTAATTATTTTAATATTTCAATATGATTCCTCCAATATTTCTATTTTTCTCTTTAAAAGGGAAAAAAGTTGAAATATTTTAGAATTTTAAGATATGTTTAATGAGTTAAGATGAATTTCCTTCTTTTATTTTGCAGAGATTTAAAATAGGGATTGAAAGGAGAGAGTATATTGCAAAAATAAAAGAAATACTCAGTTCCTATTATAAGCGGCTTGCAACTATTTCACTGCACCCAATAAATGATAGTTTATCAAGCATGTCTTAAAATGACAAACATATATATATATATAATTTGATATGAGTTGTAAAATTAAATTTATAATGAAATTAGACTTGAAAAATGATAATAAATAATTTTTTATGTGTCTTATATTAAAAATTAAATTTTTTATAAAAAGTATTCTATAATAAAATTGATGAGACTACTATTTTTTTTTTTCGGGGATAACACAGACAAGACTGCTTTAGTCAAAACGGAGGATTAGCAACGTTTACTTCGTTTGGAACTTGTGGTCAACACTATTTAGTTGCTTAAACTACAAGGCAACACCTAAACTTGGCCACATTCAATGTTTACTAATTATTAGTTCAATGGATTCAAACCAAATTAATCGCATTGATTAGTGGGGATTAATTCCACCATTGAAGCTAACAATTCTAATGGTTATATAAAAAGATTATCAATATTTGTTATAATACTTTGTTTTTATTGTAGATAAAAACTAAAAAAAAAAATAACACTCGAGAGTCCAAAAATTTCTTTCCAAATTTAGGATCAAACAGGACAAAAAATATGTAAGGCATTAGAAACAAGACGAATAATTAAATCAGTTAAAATATTGGTTGAGTGATTAATTATTAAAATCATAATTAAATTATAAGTGGATAAGTCATAAACAAAGCATCTTATTATATAAGTGAAAATAATAATTGAATGGTTGGATACACACGCATATTATGACAAACAAAGAAAGAGGAGTTTTGGTTGCACTTTCTACGTGAGTAAGGAAAAATAAATAAAAAAAGGTAAACAAAAATACTAATTAATCAAGATTATTCTACTATACTTGTGAGCTGTCAAAAGCTGAATAAATTAAACATCAAAGTAATAAAATAAAATAAAAAAAGAATCCAAACAAGAAAAAGCTGGTGATAATAAGCTGTTCAGTGAGGACTTTCACCCAAAAGATATAATTTATTTGTCTGTTCACGTGCCTTTGGAATTCGAGACATAACATGAAATCAAATGATCGTGACTTCTCTTGTCCAATTTACAGGCAGGAAAAAAAAAAATTAATTTTAATTTTTTTATAAAAAAATTCTATTATTTTTTATTTTCATTTTCACTTTTCTAATATCAACTATTGAATATTAACAATAATTTTTTTTATTACAGGACAATGGCAGAAAGTTATTACTTCCTCAAGTATGAAATATAAATAATTTTTTTAAAAAAATTAAATACCAGCAAAGTCATCGTTTCTATAAAAATATATTTTATTTTTCTCTTTTATTTTTAGTCCTAATTACTAATATATTTTATGATAAGTAAAAGATATATTCACACATATATATTTAGGTTAAAAAATATGACAGGTAAAATGAAATTTTTTTTACATATACTAAGATGTTTATATTTTGAATCAAGATTAGTTGAAGAAAAATGTTTATATTTTGATTCAGAGGAAATAAATTTTAAGATAAAATTAATAAAATTTAATACTTTTTTTAATTTTAATAAAATATAATAAAAATAATTTATAAATAAAATCAGATACAATATAAAGATGGTGATCAGAACTAAATTTAGCTGAGTAAATGAAGACTGATAGTGTCAAAATTTTGGCACCGTTGCCGGGGAGTCAAAGTGTTAACTTTTTAAATTTGGTTGTTAGTTTTTTTTTTCTTCTTTCTCATTATTTTTATTTTTTGGTTTCCAGTATTTTTTATTATTTTTTTCAGATTTATTATTTTTTTCGTTACTTGTTTTAGGTGTTTTTTATTATTTTTTTCTTGGTTTATTAGTGCATGACAAGATCTTTGCAAGATTAATTAATTGATTTGAACTTTGAGATTGAGAGAACTTGTCGTAGTAACCATAAAAAACAAAAGTATCATAAAATTAGGGATAGTATGATTTCTAAAATCTTATTTGAATTGATTGATAGTATTATTAGTAATAGTAAATCTAACTTTGACTCTATAATTAAGTTGGAAAACATGGCTAAAAATAATAATGGTAATAGGATAATTAAAGAATTGGCTGCCCCTAATGCACGCTATCAAAATTTATGTATTCAATATCCTAATTTAGATGCAAATGATAGTTTTGAATTGAAATCTGGTTTAGTACATTTGCTACCTAAATTTCATGGTCTTGCAGGAGATGACCCGAATAGGTACTTAAAGGAATTTCATATTATATGCTCTACCATGAAGCCTCAAGGAGTTTTAAAAGAGCAAATCAAATTAAACGCTTTTCCTTTTTCATTAGATGGAGTGGCAAAAGATTGGTTATATTACTTGCAACCAGATACCATTACCTCTTGGGATCAAATGACACAGTTATTCTTAGAAAAATTCTTCCCTACCTCTCGCACAGTAGCAATTAAAAAAGATATTTGTAGAATTTGTCAAATGACTGGGGAGAAATTTCATGAATATTGGGAGAGATTTAAGAAACTATGTGCAAGCTGTCCTCACCATCAAATACCTGATCAGTAGTTGGTTCAACATTTTTATGAAGGTCTCTTACCAACAGATAGGTGGTTTGTTGATGTTGCAACTAGTGGTGCTTTGGTAGAACGTACTCCAACTGATGCCATGAATCTCATCTCTAAGATGGCACAGAATTCTCAACAATTTAAGACGCGAGCTAACCAAGCAATTAAAAGGGTGAATGAGATTCAAACACCACAATATGATCTTAAATTTAAGAACAAGATGGAGGAGTTCTCTAGTATGGTTAGGCACATTGCCCTAACACAACAAAAATTAATAAATTCACCAGCAGTGCCATCTTTTCCATAGGCATATCCTTCACAGACATGTGCACAACCTCAATTCCTCAGCAAGCTACCACATCTTTTGCTTTAGTTGGGCCTCTATGTGGCATCTGTTTTTTGGCCACACATACTATTGATCAATGCCCACAGTTGGATGACTGAGTTAAGAATTGTGCTGGAATTTTTCCAACTAGACCTATGCAACAGGGCTAAAAATATGATTCTTTCTCCAATACTTATAATTCAAGGTGGAGAAATCACCCTAATTTTAGATATGGCAGAAGTCAACAACACTAATATAATGCTACAGGTCAAAATTCACAGCTTATGGAAGCAATGAGGCAATCTACTCCTATTTAAAGGTCTAAAAATGATGGATCAAGTCTAGAAGAGTTAATGAAGCAAATGGCAACTAATAACATTCAATTTCAACAACTCACTGAGACAGTAATCCAAAAATTGAAGAATCAAATTGGGTAGTTGTCCACCTTCATTAATGAATTGAAGAGTCAAGGTTCTAGAAAGTTACCTTCTCAAATAGTTGTAAATCCTAATTGCAGTAATGTTAGTGCTATCACTCTTAAAAGTGGAAAGGAGCTTCTAGAGCCTTCCATAACATCTATTAAGAATAAGTCGGCTACAACAACACAAGTCACACTTGAGGAGTCTAATAAAGAAAAAGAACCAAGAAAGATCCTTCCATTTCCAAATAAGGAGACTCAAAGCAAGAAGTTAAAGGAAGCTGAATTGGAGAAAGAAGTGCTTGATGTTTTCAAGAAGGTTGAAGTTAATATTTCCTTTTTGGAGGCAGTAAAGAAAATTCCTAAATATGCAAAATTCTTGAAAGACCTATGCACGAATAAGAGAAGATTTAAAGCTGATAAGAAGGTCAATTTAGGAAGAAGTGTATCAGCTTTATTTCATGGAGGAATGCAGTGCCAACCCCCCATGCCTTTAAAATGCAAAGATCCGGGAGTTTCACTATACCCTATACTATAGGAATTTTAGAATTTTCTAACGCTTTGATTGATCTTGGTGCAGCGATAAATGTTATGCCCAAGTTTATTTTTTTCTTTGCAGGCTTGTGAGATGAAGCCAGCCAGGATTATTGTGCAATTAGCAGATAGGAGACTTGCCTGTCCTAATGGTATGCTTAAAGACATTCTAATTAAGGTAAAGGATTTAATCTTTCTTACTGATTTTTATATTTTGGATATGGGTAAAGATGATAGTCATGGGCTACTACCACTGATTTTGGGTAGGCCATTTCTTAAGACAGCCAATACTATTATTAATGTTAAAGATAGTACTCTTTCCATGGAATTTACAGGATGTGTTATTCAATTTAATCTTTTAGAGGCTATGAAACATCCTATAGAGGATCATTCTGTTATTAATGTGAGCATGCTTGATATGTTAATTGATGATACATATGATGAGCTTTATAATGAGATGATTTCTAGTTCTCTTGAGATTATTGATTTAGATAGCAATATACATTGTTCTGACTCTATTATTTATGAGGATTCTTCTGACTGTTTTGGTTCTGATGATATTGTTGAGTTATTTAAATCCATACCTGATATTGGCATTGAAACTTCTAGTGACTCTGATATGATTGCTTCTGACTTTAAAAGAACTATGGACTTTGCTAGCAACTCTATGTCATGTAATTCTATTAATGATAATTCTAGTGTTCTAGAACAAGATAGTGCTGCTTCTTTTGATGTAATGTAGGTTTATGGAGTTGCTAGGCTTACTATTGACAAGCTAGTGCCCTCTATTCAATAGGCACCTATATTTGAATTGAAAGATCTACCAGAATATTTGAAATATGCATTCTTAGATAAAGGTAAGAAATTACCGATTATTATAGCAAAAGATTCTGATCTTAGTCAAGAGGCAAAATTGTTAGAGGTACTAAGAAAGCACAAGAAAGCTATAGGATGGATACTAGTTGACATTCCAGGCATCAGTCTAGATATATGCATATACAGGGTCTTGATGGAAGACAGTGCAAAGCCATGTAAGCAACCTCAAAGAAGTCTTAACCCACTTATCCTTGACGTGGTCAAAAAGAAGGTAACAAAACTTCTTTTTGTTATTATTTACCCTATTTCTGATAGCCAGTGGGTGAGTCCAGTACAAGTAGTGCCAAAGAAGAGCGGGATCACAGTTGTAAAGAATGAAAGAACAAGTTGATTCCTATGAGAGTGTAAAATAGCTGGAGGATGTGCATCGACTACAAGAAGCTAAATGATGCAACCAAGAAAGATCACTTCCCTTTACCTTTTATTGATCAAATGTTAGAGAAATTAGCAAGAAGATCTCACTACTGTTTTCTAGATGATTTTTTAGGTTATTTCTAGATTTGCATAGCTTCAAAAGACCAAGAGAAGACAACATTCACATGTCCATTTGGCAAATTTGCTTATAGGAGGATGCCATTTGGATTATGCAATGCCCTAGCCACATTCCAGAGATGCATGATGAGTATTTTTGCAGATTTGCTAGACTATTGCATAGAGGTTTTTATGGATGATTTTACTGTATATGGAGATTCATTTGATGAGTGTCTAGTAAATTTAGATAAAGTACTTAAGCGATGTATTGAGAAAAATCTTGTATTAAACTTTGAAAAGTGTCATTTCATGGTTAGATAAGGTATTGTATTAGGTTATGTTGTTTCTGAGAGGGGGATAGAAGTTGACAAGGTTAAGGTAGATGTGATTACTTCTTTACCTTATCCTACTAGTGTTAGAGAGGTCCATTCTTTCCTTGGACATGCAGGATTCTACAGGAGGTTTATACAAGATTTTAGCAAGATAGCCTTACCACTCTCAAGATTGCTGCGAAAAGATGTGGATTTTAAATTTGATAAAGCTTGTGAGCAAGCACTTGATGAGTTAAAGAAGAGATTGACTACTTCACCAATCATTCAACCGCCAAATTGGGATTTACCTTTTGAATTATTATATGATGCTTCTAATTATGCTCTTGGTGCAGTGCTTTCACAAAGAGTTGATAAGAAATCACATGTTATAGCTTATGCTTCCAGAACTTTAGATGTAGCCCAAGCCAACTATACTACTACTGAAAAAGAGCTTTTAGCTATTGTTTTTGTATTAGATAAGTTTAGATCATATCTTTTGAATGTAAAAGTTATTGTGTTTTCTGATCATGCATTAGTAAAGTATCTCTTAAGAAAGCCAAATGCAAAGCCACGATTAGTCAAATAGATGCTCTTGCTACAGGAGTTTAACTTGGAGATAAAGGATAAGAGTGGAGCTGAGAATTCTATTGCAGACCATTTGAGTCGCATTGAATCTCCTATGGTTCCTTCTATTCCTATTGATGATAATTTTCCTGATGAATTCTTGTATGCTATGCATGATGTTACTCCTTGGTATGCTGACTTAGTTAATTACTTAGCTGCCTCTGCATTGCCTGTGCATTTAAAGAAACATTAATTAGATATGTTTAAGAGGGAAGCTAGATGTTACATTTGGGATGATCCACACCTTTGGTGCATATGTAGTGACTAGATTATTAGGAGATGTATTCCTGACAATGAGTTTGAATTCATATTGCATTTTTGTCACACACTTGCTTGTGGAGGACACTTTGGTCCATAACGCACTGCTAGAAAGGTTGTTGATTCTGGATTGTATTGGCCTACTCTATTTCGTGATGCATATACATTTTGTAAGCATTGTGCTAGATGTCAGCATACATGAAATATCTCCAATAAAAATGAGATGCCTCAACAACCTTTACTTTTCTATGAAATATTTGATATATGGGGTATTGATTTCATAGGACCTTTTCATGTTTCATTTAGATTTTCTTACATTTTACTAGCTGTGGATTATGTTTCTAAATGGGTAGAAGATAAAGCCACCAAAACTGATGACTCTGCTGCTGTTGTAGATTTTGTTAGGTCACATATCTTTTGTAGGTTTGGTATTCCAAAGGCCATTATCAGTGACCAAGGGACCCCTTTTCGTAATCGGAGCATGCAGAGTTTGTTGGGTAAGTATGGGGTCGTGCATAAGATGGTTACCCCTTATCACCCCCAAACTAATCAACAAGCTGAAGTTTCTAACCGAGAGATAAAACAGATTCTTGAGAAGATAGTTCAACTTAATAGGAAAGACTGGAGTAAGAGATTTGATGATGCATTGTGGGCATACAGAATTGCTTACAAGACTCCAATACAAGACTCCAATCGGAATGTCTCCTTATCGGCTTGTTTTTGGGAAAACTTGTCACTTACCTGTGGAGATTGAGCATAAAGCTTATTAGGCAATAAAGCAATGCAACATGGATTTGACTAAAGCAGGAGCTCAAAGAAAATATCAATTGTAAGAGCTTGAAGAATTTTGCTTGGAAGTATATGAAAATTCAAGAATTTACAAGGAAAAGACCAAGTTGATGCATGATAAGCTGATAGTTAAAAAAGAGTTCGAAGTGGGACAAAAAGTGTTGCTCTATAATGCTAGATTGAAACTTATGTCAGAAAAACTTCGTTCTAAATGGGAAGGTCCTTTTATGATTACTAAAGTGTTTTCTTATGGTGGAGTAGAGATTATGGTAGAATCTATTGGAGTAAAGTTTAAAGTTAATGGGCATCGGTTAAAGCATTTTTATAATGAATTTAAGACACACATTGTGGAGGAGTCTTCCCTCCAAGATAACATTTAATCGATCAGGTTGTATCCCTTCTCTTCACTTTTAATTGACATTTTCCTATACATCTTTCAAACTATGTTTTACATTGAGGACACTATAGATTTTAAGTGTGGGGGGAGGTTTTTGAAGTTTTTTTTAAATTTTTTTCTTGTTTTCATTTTTGTTATTTTTGTGTTCTTGTTTTCTTAAAAAAAAAGAATTTACAAAAAAAAAAAAGAATTTGTGCAAAGTTGCAAATTTAAGATAATTTTAGTTTGGATACATTTAAGCATGATAAGTAATTGATCTTATATTTGAAATTCAAGTTAAGTGGCAATGAATTTGGTTTCATTAGATTAATGTGATAGTCTTTAGCTTGTGAAGATTTAGATCTAATATTATTATCTTCTTGTGTGTATTCTCCTATTACTACTTTCACTCTAAAACTTGTCTTGATTCTTAGTTGAGACTACAATTGTATATGCTTTGCATGAAGATGATTTATGTATTCTTTTCTTTTAACCTACTTAGCCAAATAGCCATCCTATACAATTTATCCCTTATTAGCTCCTTTGAGCCTAGACCTTTTCTTTAAAATTTTAGCCAACTGAAAACATAACATATAAAAATATTTTCCTTTCTTTCTTCTCACCCCACTTTAGGTAATAAAAAGTGTATTATAATATTTGCTGGAATGAAAGAATATGCTTAAAGGGAGATTTGGGTTATTTTGGGAAGAGAGAGAGAGAGAGAGAGAGAGCCAAAAGGCAAAGAAAGAAAAAAAATAAGAAAGGAAGGAAGAAAAAGAAAAGAAAAAAAAAGAAAAGGAAGGGCCAAAAAGACAGAAAGCAACAAGAAAAGAAAAATAGAAAAAATAAAAAGATGCATGAAACAAAGGAAATGAAAACAAAATAAAGAAAAAAATAAACTCAAATCAATTTATTTTGTTTCTTTCATTCTGTATGTTTCATTTCAAATATGCTTTTCATTTTTTTAAAGTTTATTAGCCTTCATTTTCCTATATCATACCTTTACCTAAGCCCCATTACAACCTAAACTAAAGTCTTATTGATTCTTGTATTGCATATGACATAGATAGTGGAGACCTAGATGATAAACAAGCCTATGGTAGTGAGGTTTTGATAGAAAAATTTGAGTGAAACACTTACTTATATAAATTTGAGAGTTGAGAGTTCAACACTCGACCTTTGTGAGGGGCTATTGCTTAATTTATTCTTACCAAATGAAATTGCTATGATACTTGTTATTTTGGATAAAAGAGAGATTGATTAGAGTGTTAAAATGTTGAAGAGCTGTAATTGTTCTTATTCTTTGTTACTTCCACATTTCTTTTCTTAAATTTTGATATTTAAGTTTTGCCCAAGAGTGCAAAAGTTTAAGTGTGGAGGAATTGATAAATAATAATTTTATATATTTTTATCCGTTTAATTTAAACTTTTAAATATTTATTTGAGACTAATTGAGTTTAATTAGATATTATTTAATTTATTAGCCAATATTCAGTTTTGAAATTTTAACTAATTAATAAATGATAATTTTATATATTTTTATCCTTTTAATTTAGATTTTTAAATATTTATTTGAGACTAATTAAGTTTAATTAAATATTATTTAATTTTATTAATCAATATTCAATTTTAAAATTTTAACTATCTAAATTTAAAGACAAATCCTCCAAAACGAGGTTGGAATCATTATCATCACCATCATTTATTTGAATGCTATTGAAAAAAGGGAAAATGATAACTGAAGACAAATCCTAAATTTTTAAAATTTAATAACATACCATAGTCTTTAATTAGTAATTACTTGCAATACATTATTTTTTATTAATTGACTTGAAATCTAGAACGAACTTTTATAAATTATCAACTAACACTACAAATATTTTTAAGTATCTTTTATTAATTTTTTAAGTAATAGTAAAAAATTATAAGTGGTTAACTTGTGATTTACAACCAATTCTTATAAATTTTTAACTAACATTATAAATAATTTTAAGTGTATTTTTTTAATTTTCTAAGTGATTGATTTATATATTAATAGTAAAAAAATCACAAGTGACTTTTGTAAATTCTCAATTAATATTATAAATAATCCTAAGTAAATTCTTTTGATTTCTCAAGCGGTTTATTTGTATATTGACAATAAAAAATTGAGATTCACAACTAAGTCTCATAAATTCTTAATCAACATTACAAATAATTTTAATTATATTTTACTGATGTCCCAATTGACTATTAATATTTTTTTAATTGCAAGTAAGGATCATGTTCTCTCATTAGGATTTCAATAATTCAATATATGTAATTGTCATTAATATTCTTATGAGATTCTTAATTGTTATTTTTCCTTGTAAAATTTGTTTGTTCATTTATTTCTAGTTATATACTCCCTCCCTCCAAACCAAAATATAGATTATTAGTGACTAATTCATGGTTCTTAAAAACTACAAGAAAATTGGTCAAAAAAAAATTAGATTAAAAAGCAAATTAGTCCCAGTAATCAAATGTTTTTGAAAGACCAAAATTATTATTTTATTCAGAAAATGATAAGGAGAATGGACTAAAATGCCCTTTGTTATTAGGAGAAAACAATATGATAAATCATAGATGATTTTCGGTGCCCTTACTTCTCCATGCCATTGCCTTCCTCCTTTGCCATTTTGCTTCTATCACCATTGATCACTCTCAAACTCGCCTTCACCATCATTCATGTTGTTCCACTTAATCTCCCTTAAACTCTTTACAAAACAACATCTTCGGCTATGCTCCTTTAAGATCCTTAAGCCTTAAGCCTCTCAAACTCTCAAGCCCTTCCCTCACACCCACACACGTACTTATCTCTCATCATTCACTTCCACTACCAATATCCCTCGAATCCATCACACCTATGTCTCCTTTATCATTTGCCTTTTCGTCAGCCACCCCTCAAGCCATCGCCTCCCTCAATTTTGTTCACCCTTGGCTTACTTTTAGTTGTAGACTCATTCATGCTCATGCATCGTCGTCCTTTCTTAGGAGCACTTTGAGAATTGAAATCCAGATCTCTTACACGAATGCGTCAAGTTTATTTATTTTTCAGCTTTGGTTTAAATTATCAATATATTGTTAAACTTTGTTTGATTTCTTTACTTTATGGGCAAAGCCCAGCTAAATGAGAATAGGTGGTAAAGAAAAACTATTATAAACTTTTAAAAACATGCACAAGACCTTGTGTCTCTTGTCCAACATTTGGCAAAAGTTTAAGCATCAAAAAGCAAAAGAGGTAGCTGTACTCACGAAGAGGCATCTAGATCGAAAAGCATGTGCCCCATTTCCTTCTTTTCAGCTTTTTTCCACTAAAATAATGATTAAAATAGGTATTAGGAAACTGATATAAGAGTTTATTAAAAAAAACTAGACTATAAAGATCAAATCTTAGAAGTGATTGAATCTACATAATGGAATGTATAAACAAGCCAATGAATTGGTAAAATAAGACTAAAGACTTACTATCGAATAATGAATCAGGGAGGTATTTTGTGAGTTAATATTTCTGGATATATAGATAAGAAGGGTGAATAAGGATCAATAATTGAGAATAACAAAGTTCAAAAGTATCTAAAATCTAAAGAACACATTACCTAAAAATGGCTTTATACATAATATATTGTTAAGCTTTGCACAACCATAACTTTTGAGGACACCTTTTGGTATGGCACCTATGAAAAAATTACTAGAATTTAAACACTTTCATGAAAATATCATAATGGAAACTTAAGTTCCTCAACCAAAATTTAGGAATGATTGTTCTGTGAGTAAGCCTATTATAGTAGGATATAAAAATAACCTCTACTTTCTTTTCTTTTTATTATCTGCCTGATGATTAGTTAAAATGAAGAGAACTCTTGGTTTATTTTTTGGTAGTTTTTCTTTCACAAAAATTAGGTTAAATTGATACATGTGTCATTTGTGTTGTTTTTTGGATTATATTAATGCTTTGTATTCCTAGTTTAATGAATAACAAAATGACATATTGTTGACGTTTCAAGAAATATGCATTTCTCAACTTAGAAAATTTAGATAACTCATCAAAATGTTGCTTCTTTAGGCCATGCTTGTAAGTTTATATTTATGGTTATATGAAATTTTTGTTTATTTCTATAGCTCATTCAGTTGACTTTGATTCTATTCCTGTCAAATAAATAACAGATGTAACATCCTAAATTTTAATTCATGGGCTGTTAAGGGATTAATCAAGTTTAATTAAGTAAGAATAGTGAAGGGAATGGTTATAGAGGATTAAGAAACCTTTTGGGCTTGATAACAACCTTAAAATATGGGTTCGAACTTGAGTATGGGACGCATATGCCAAAGAAGGAGAGGACACGAAGGTTTGTGGTTCTGTATGACGTGCCACAGCATAAGTATGGTCCATTATGATGCAAAGGACTGAAGCAAAGTGACAAAACCTTTCTGTGGCATACACTGGGATACAAGTAGCATGTGTCACAATGCATGGCCCATTTTTTGCAATTTTAAGTCACAAATAAGTGTCAAAATCAGAAGAGAAGAAAGAGAAAACATAAAGCATTGGGAGAACTCTATTAAAGCCT